CCGGGGAGAGGGAGGGACCGAGGGGCACCGAGTCTGCTGCGGACTCCCGTAGGAACGAACGGGAACCGCAGCCGCAAAGCTCCACGCCCATAGCGCGCATGGGACAACCGCCTCCTTTTTCCACCGTTCTCCTCCCCACCGCCCCGCAGCCGTCCCCGCGATCTCTGTCCCCGTCTCGCTCGCACGCTCGGCGATCCTCGGCCGCGCGTGGCGCACACTCACCTTGATGATCAGCTCGATCTCGGGCACGTCGCCGTTACTGGTGCCGTTCTCGTGATTGTCGTCCGCCATCCCGACGGGGCTCTTTCTCCGTACGCGGCGAGTAGGTAAGAAGGCACTTTTGTCCCGTGGCGTTTCTCTCGGCGGCTACCGCTCCCTCTCTATGTGTCTGTCTCTCTCTTTCTTGACGCGGGGCGAAGCCGGACGCGATCGGAAAGACGGTCAAGACACGATGGAGGTCCGCGAACTACTGACGCAGCGCGCGCCGCGCCGCGCCACGTTCACGCCGCTGGCGCCGCCTGCGGCGCTCACGCCGTATCACGTGACGCTTCGGCGCGCGGGAAGCGCGCCTTATTTGAAAGCGGTACGGCGTACGCGACGTGACACACCTCGCGAGACAATTGACAATCGATGCCAATGAAAATAGAAATGCTCCCGTGCGTTTGTCGCGTTGGAACATAAATTGTTGGACACGTTTGTACAATGTTTGTTACACAAGCGTCTTCTAAATTTACTTTTCTTCGTCAGGCGCACGTGTAGACATTTTCTGCGACTGTTTCGAGATTCTACGTAACATTTCGTAGTCTTGAAAGAATCCCGTACAGGCGACTTCTTGTATAATAAATGCGTTATGTTACTTTTCCAAAAGTCCCGTCTGGGCCGTCGAGCGGTTCACACGTCTTCCGACGGAAGAAAAATTTTTGATCCTGCGGGGTTGCATCATCCCGCGCGAGGCCCGTTAGTCGGGCCCCTGCTTTGTATATATCACCAATCAGTTGTCTATAATTCTATAGTGTCTGTAATTCAACAACGTCTATTGGTTCGTCGTGGCCGTATCGGCTACCGTTTATCATGTGCCGGGAGCCATAATTAGAAGAAGAAGATGTTACTTTTTCCTATTGCTGGTGCGACAGAAAATATTTTTTGAATCTGTATTTCGTCACGCAATTCTTCCGAAAAAGAACTTCCACTTTCTTCGGTAACTAATAGCGACGTGCTCTCTTCCATTACATTTTCTTTACAAATGTACCCTTTTGTATATTTTACTAACGTGTTGAAATATCTAACTCGTATTGTATATTTCCTTACCATTATCTGCACTTCGATACAACAAGACGTTGCCGAACAAAATTATATATGTATAGAATAAAGAAAGCTGATTTCAGGAATTGTCAATTTTGAAGGAGGCGGAGGCGAAAGTGAAATTGGACGGTCGAAGATGAATTGATTGTCGAAACTGCGACAGCTACTTTGTGACATTTTAGTCGTGAAAGCGTCGGGGGATAAGTGTCATGACGAGACGGTTGTACAACTTGAAATACTTCGAGATTTAATATACAGTATAAGGAAGACGCATTGGAGGTTGAATATTTCTGTTGTAATAATCATATGCTACATTCTTAACTATTATATCTTAAACAATATAGCAACAATAATATTTCATATGTACATAATTACTAATCCTCTCTACGGCAATAAACGTGAGCTCGTTTAACGCCTTACGTTTGGTCGGTTCGCGACACGTAGAGATTCCCGTAAACTCTACAGCCAAGAGTTCTCTTTTACAATTGAATATTTTTTTTCCCTTCCACTTATGTTCGCGCGTTAAAAGAAAGGTGAAGGTATGTACGACGGACCAAAGAAAGAGGATATACCGTAGAGTGGGGTAACATGGAACAAGGGGGCAAGTTGGAACAAAACTTCCAAAAAAGCACAGAACTTATAATGATGTAAGGTTTATCATTTATTGAGCGTACATATAGGCTAAACCAAACTAGCGTTGAACTCGAATGCTTTCTTGCAGACGTTGCCGGTTCTAATGCATAAATACGAAATTGGAAGTTTTGTTCCAACTTGCCCCCTTGTTCCATGTTACCCCACTCTACGGTACCGAGGGTATGAGTTCAATCGACAGACTATGAAAGCTACGCGTTCGTATTATTAGTGTGATCTCTAAACGCTACAACGGTTAGTGCTCCGTTCTCTTTTTCTTCATTTACTAGCTCACTTTCCGACAGACGATTGAACGATGTGATGAGTTTAAATCAACCTAGGCCGAGTGTAAAACGCACAATGTTACCAACCTTTCTTAATTGTAGCTTTAGAATGTAAGAGATTGCCCGGCCGTCACCATTTCTCCAATTCCACGGCTACAGGATTATAGCATTCATTAGTTCTTTCTCAGTATCTCGTTAAAAAATATGAAAGACGCAAGCATACCATCGTCGATACGAGATTCACGGTAAGATCTTTGCAAGTATATACATATGTATACTTAAAAGCATATACTTAAAAATTGTATACATATATATAACAAAGTCTCGTCTAAACGATTTATGTTGTCTCGATTAGAATAATGTCTCATTCCACTCTAACGATCGACTTGAGATCTCCTCTCACTGACTGATCATTAACAACGATAACACGTTTTCGGTACGTCGTTCAGATTGGACCCCAGTTCTAAAGCGACGGATAGAATAGCGTAGAATACCAGCGAGTGTAGGATACACGCGTATAGAATTATTTCACATATGTGTACCATAAATATCGAACATGTTCATAAATATACGAGTAGGGTAATAGTAATAATTGACTAATTTTGGTTTTACACGGACATAATCCCTAATTTGCTTCATCCGTTAATTGGTATTTCGTACTCTGCATCCTAAGAGCATTAATAAAGTTCTCATTCGAACGCTCGTAGCGCCCGATTTCTGATTGTCGAGCCTAATTTCGCAGCGGGTCCAAGCTCTCCAAAGAAAAGTCGTCAGTTCCGATGCACAGCCCTCTACTAAAACCGTCCTGAAAAATTTCGCCACACGTATTGCAAGCCGTTTATAACGGAGACAGTGAAAAGTGAGACATCCGCGAGTCTTACCTTCATCTCCAGCAGCTTCTTGTCTAACAGGCCGATAGCGTTTTCCAGTTCTTGTTGGCTAGGATTAGATGTCATGGTCGAAGCTCCAAATTCTCCCATTTCAAATGGATCCTTGAAATCATTCTTCATATTTAAAGTCGGCGTAGGATTAAAAGGAATGCTACCAAACAGATCTTCCTTGATTCCGTTTTGACGTCTCGAGTCTTTCGTCTTTGGTGGTGGTGCCACTGCGGATAGAAAACGCAATGTTGTCAAGTGGCGTACGACGAAAGTTAAATAATGTCCATAAATTATGGACTCACACAGGGGCGGAGGACTGATTGTGCCGTTAGATTGCGAAAAGAAGTTTGATCCCGAAGATATCTGACCGTTAAGGAGCGGATTGTTATTCGACTGATGATTGGCGAGACCGTTGGCTGCGGTCTCGTAAGCTCGTGGATTGAAATCCTCCTCAAACTCGTCCATCAACAATCCCTCTAATTTGGTGCCAACCGACGGCATTGGCGCTGGCTCATTTCTACGGGAAAATGAAAAATAACGTGAAATCGAGGAAGAGCGGAGTGAAAATAGTGAAATGTACAATCACGCTGATCATACCCCATGAAATCATCGTCAAAACTCTTCTCGAAACTTCTCGGCGGAACCGGCGGCGGCTGTTGAGGTCCATTAGATGTATTTCCGTTGCTGTCGCTCATGTTCAGCAACGGCTTGATAATCGTACCATTGACCTGCGGTGAATCCGTAGAAGCTCCAGGTACGTGAAGAATATCTGGTATATTATGCTGCGATAGATACGCCGATACATCCGCCTAAATAAAAAGAAAAACACAGTCGACGATTATTAAAACAATTTCTATTCACGTATTACAAAATATATATTTCAATTGTGTTTTTATATTAAAATATAAATATTGTAGAAGAAAACAGTAAAAAAGAGTGTCCGCCAAGTGTCCACGCCCGTTTAAACAACTGTTGCATGAAACAATGTTGTTTTAACCATCGCGCCTCCGCTCAACTCGACGTTACAGGCAAGGATACACTCTGTGTGTACACTTGGCGCGAGACACTGCCGCCGTGTCTCCTGATACGAGATACTAAATCTCATATTTCTCTCCAAACTAACCGAGCCTTTAATAGCCGCGACATCCTGCAATCGTTGCCGATAAACGTTGTTCTCGTGTTCGAGTCGCTTTATCTTCTGCTGCAGCACCATACAACGTCGTTGCGTCTCTAAATCCTTGCCGGACGTTTCCAGGAACCTCTTGTAGGCCAGATCGAAGGCCTGGCCGATGGTGAGCGTGATCTCCTCGGCTAGTTTGTCGCTGACGAAAACGAAGCATGTATGCCTCTCCGCGTCCTCCTCCTTCGCGATGAAACTGAAGAACTTCTTCTCCCCCTTGTCGTCGGCGCAGTACGAGATTCTATGTAACGGATACTGATGCATAATTCGCTGCAAGAATAACCTTCGATCAAACGACGGCCAAGTAATCGAGCCTCGGACGCGCGCGAATGCGGAATGCAATTATCGCGCAAAAGTTATCCTCACGTCGACGAATGGCACTAACCTTGGGCGTCGTTTTCGTTTTTGGTTCCTGTATCGCCACGCCATCGATGCTTATGGTGAGCTCGACCTTCGGGGTCTTCGTGCCTTCGCTCTTCTTGAGCTGCTGATTGAATTTCAGCTTGCAGATCGCCTCCTTAACGACCTCGATGCCTTTCGGTTGGTCCACCTCCGTGCTGCCCAAATACTAAAATATCAAATCGCGGAAAGGTGAGGAGACAAGGGGTCCATGAGTGCCAAGCAATCGTTTACAGAAACGAGGCAAGAGAAACGATGCGGCGTGAGAAACGCCGTGACGTTTTCCGAGAAGAGCGCACGCTGAAAACGCGATACGAATGTACTTCTTTATTAACGGCTGTTTTTCTAGCGCATTCCTCACCGCGGTCTGCATATCTTTGCATTATAATCGTTATAAATCTCCCGCGTGCATCTGTAAATTAGCCGCGCACGACATCTCTCGTCAAGGTGATATTTCCGAGAGAAAAGTTGTCTAACTGCTTGCAAATACGGCTGTATAAATCGGCGTAAACGCTTTTACGTAATCGAAACGGCCCGAGAGTTCCGGGCATCTTAGATCGTGGTTAAGAAACAAACTTTATTTATCCAACGCGAGGATTCGCGGGGAAAGGAATGGATAAAAATGAGAAATATCGACGGAGAGCGGGGAAGGAAGTTGGATTGTACGTCAGGCAGGAGAGAAATTAATCGGTAATTAACGGGGACCCGCTCGCATCTCGCAAACCGAACAAAAGGAACGTGGCATTTCGCAATGAGGCCTGAACTGACGTTTGAAAATAAGACGCACATCTAACGGCAATTTACGCCGCATTCCTTCCGCCCGATAAAACATTTCTGTACTTTAATCTTATACAGACAACGCGATAAACGTAACACTGACAAATTGCGTGATATTATCGCGCCACGATGACGTTTCGTTGCGTAGTTTAATGATCCCCGGATACTTTTATATCGCCGTTCAAGTACGCGTCTTCTCGCGGGCGACGGAACTCGCTTACGCAAATCTGCATCTGACCGCGTTTCAATCACAATTGTTTTTAAATACACGCGTAAATGAATAATCTCAACGAGCGCAAAATACGACAGGGATTTGAATGAACGATTGTGAAAAACGCAATGTCAAACTCTTCTTCAAAAATTCTTCCACGATTGCGAAGAATTGAAAAAAAAATCATATCAAATTGCTGCCGACTGTTTCAAAACTTGATTTTAAAAGGAAAGATTCGCGCGCGCTTTTTCTCTCGATCTAATGTAGCGAATAATTGGACCGATAATTGGATTCTGCTGCCGATCGGGACACGAGATACTTTGTGCAACGAAGAGAAACCTCTTGAGCGGAATATCTTCTGAAAAAAGGGGGGGAAAGAACACGCGGGGAGAGTTGGATTGCGGAAACTTAATCCGGTCAGAGAAAAAGGCATGTCCGGACACGCCAATTCCGCTGTTTCGTGTCTAGTGGTGACGACACGACACTCGTTTCGTTCGTGAGATAGTGAAATCTGGCCGCTCGCGAAGTTTCGAAGTTCAACGAACCCGGCGGCGACGCGCCTGTTGGGTCTCGGCGCCTCGAACAACAATTCATCCGCGATACGCCGGGGTATTCGTATTCACCGGGAAACTCACGTACGTGCCGGTAACAAGTCGAAACGAAAGGCAAGGTGCGCGCGCGCGCGCGTCGCGTGTTGCGCAATTTTTCCGGGTGACGCGAAATGAATGAACGCTTTGAGCCTAGGATCGCTTTTTTTCCTCCTATTTCTGTGCGAGTCGTCCAGAAATAGTGAGACTCCACAGCTGACTAGAAAGTGTAAATCGCGGGTCACTCTCGGTTTTACGTCCGCGTCGCTCGTTAACGACCGGACATTAGGCCCCTCCCCGTCTTCGAGTTCTGCCTGAACGTCATTACGAGACGCCTGCGCCTCTCCTTTCCAGCCTTGCACTCCTTTCTATCATTGCAGGAAGCACTAAATTTTTGGAAATGATTATCATAAATTCTGATCTCTTTAACGAAACCGCTTTCTACTAGTTTCTTTTTCAGAGAAATGCAACACTTTATTCACTATATACACGGAGAGAATTTTCTTTTGTAATTTACCGTAACAATTATGTAATCGAGGGACAACATGGCATTTTGAACAACTTTGTGAAAGTTTTTTCAAGTCTTACCATACATTTCACTGTAATAAAAGTCCTCGAAATCCACGTTGTCCCACGATCACGCGATTTTCAGGATGAATTTTAAGAGCAAATTCTCTCCGCGCGGAAAATTGAAATTTGAAAAACTAACAAATACTTGTCGCAATAAAATTAAACGAGAATTATTTAGACATTTAACATCATGGCTCTTCTAGTCCTTATTTCTTTGAATTTACGTTTGTCACACGAGAGCCACATGAACTTCATTGATTCGTTAAAAAATATATATCTTTCCTAAAAAAAATGAAAGAACAAATAAGAGAAAGATTAAAGAACGTTGAACGATTTCTCAAGCGACTGCTTCCATTTTCATTGCCCTTGCGCCGGTTATTGCTTAATAGCAGCCGGCAATTTCTCCGGCTTTTCTCATGCCTCGGCGTTCCGCCCAGCGAAATAATCAACTTAGCTTAATTACGCTCGTTAGCGGCGAAAGGTAATTGGGCGAAGGCACGTCAACAAATTTCACGAGCGCGTAATGGATACCGCGCCCGGCGGGGTCACGGGTGAGCTGCCGGAGATGAAATTAAAAGCGGAAAAGGAGGGTCGACGATACGCGCCGCGACGACCTCGACCTTTCGTTCCGTCGCTTTCGAGATACCGAGAAAACGGTGCTAGGGCGACACTTGTCGCACCGTTGTTGTTCGTCCCGCGGTTTCACAATCGCGCACCGCGACCATGGTCAACGTATCGATAGTCAAGAGCAGGTTCAACATCCGGTTGGAAAAAAAAACGCAATCTCAGTAAACTGTTTGTAAAAATGATTTACTCCCGAATCCTTCGGCACCAATTTCCGCGCGAATCGTGAAATCGCCGAAACGATCGTCGCGGTCGTTCGCGAGAAATAAAAGGATATAAACGATATCTACTCTCTGGGGGGGAAAGAAAGACAGCGACCCATTTAGGGGCCCGCAATTAGTAATTGAGTTATTTGGATTCTTCGTAACTCTATCTCTGGGAAAAATTTTGATCGTTTTCTTTGTAGTTAAGCAACTTAAGATTTCAGTTAGCGCCTTTTAAGTGAAGATTATCTTTGCGTCGCTGAATATCGAGAGAACTAATTGAGAGAATTGATTACTTAAAAATCTTGGATATATGTAGATGGAACAGCTAATTGCGATTTTTAGTTACGCGGGGTAAAATTCGTAAAAGACTAGAGTTACGAACGATCCAAATAACTCGACTACCCAAAATGGGTCGCTGTCGTTTTTCTTTTCTCCCCCCAGAGCATCTCTCCCTAACGCGACGTCACTTATAACACGAGGAGATCCTCTGCGCAGTATAGAAATCGTACTATACCTTGACTAGGTAGGCGATATGTCCTTTTTGGAGCGCGTCCGGTGGGTGTATCCAGTTCCTACTCGTTCCTGCGAACAGGAGAGTCGCGATGGTTTTCAACCTTCGCCATAGCAGCGGCGAGCCATATTTGCTAATACTAGTCGCCGATACAAGTGCTTCCGAGAGCCAGGTTACTCACCTCCGTTTTTACTCGGCTGATTTTTATTGTTCGCCGAATTCTGCGCCCATTTCAGTAACGTCGAGTTCCTCATGTTGCCGGCCTCTGGCTACAACCGACTCTCAGACCCCTCTGCAATACAAATATCGACGGGCCGTGAAGTTGACGTACAAAAGAAAAACTCCTTTCCAACATGCAAGCTATTATTTCTAAATATAAATAGTTTAGATGCGCCTGTGCGAATTAAATCTTTTAAACGTCGATTATTAAAAGATTGCAAACTTCCAGCTTTAATATAACGCAATCATCTTCTCTTTCTGGTTTCAAAAATGGTAGTTTTACACGTGTCTGCGAGTAACGTTCTTCCGCTGTTCGTAACGGTTGAAGCGAAAGGCTTTTGTAGATCGACCGCTTATGAATACAAAAGATTTAAACGGGCCGCTGGTCAAACGTCAAAAGCCAACGCCGGCCGTAATTTTTCCTTTCCCTCGACATTCTACGAAGTGGGACGCGAGTTTTGGACCCTTTCCAGGTTGCCGCGCGTTCTCTTCCTATTTCTACGATCTCTCGTGCGCCGTCCTCGCTCTCTTATCTGTTCCCCTAAAATCACTTTCTACCCGTGCATTTCAAGCTCCTGCGCCGTAGAAGCGTAGTATAACTAGTATGCCCACAGGGAAGCTTAAAAAAAGGGAAATTCGAAATAATAAAATTATTAATATCATTTTAGTTTGCGTGTTCAAACCGGGGGGGACACACTTTCTCCTGAGAAAACCCGGGGACGATTTTCGCCATTTGCTCTATGGCCGGTATTCATAGTCGATTCTTACTTCAAAATCATCTTAAGTATTGCCTTAAGGGGATGCTGGAGTGATTCTGCACTTTTGCACCTTTCTAACCTAAAAACTGTCAGTTCACGGAAACATTTGTGTAATATACAAATTAAATGGCTTACGTGTACAGATCGAAAGCAGCTTGCTATTCCGGCCAAATGAAAGAACAATATGGCATCACTGAAACTAAGTTTGTAAGTCTAATAAAAAATAATAGTGAGCAACACACATACCACATGTACTGTATGTATGTGTTGCTCACTATTATTTTTTATTAGACTTACAAACTTAGTTTCAGTGATGTCATATTGTTCTTTAATTTAGCCGGAATAGCAAGCTGCTTTCGATCATCTGTACATGTGCCATTTAATTTGTGTATTACACAAATCTTTTCACGAAACAGACAGTTTTAAGTGCAAAAGATGCGAAAGTGCAGAATCACTTCAGCATCCCCTTAAGACGCAATTACAGCTCTGTGATTGGTTGAAAACACATTAAGTTTTTAAAATTTTTAATTAAATTTTTAATTAAGTTTTTTAAAATTTAAAACACATACTTCAGATGGTCTTAAGTATAAGAACGGACTATGAATACCGGCTTCACCCGGAAAGGGCGAACCACGGTGTAGAGATACAAGGTGAAGCAATCTGGTGGATGCGCAGTGTCAACCAATCAGAAGTGGCCCGAACTACCGAATTGACCAATCAGCAATTTGCCCCAACCTTCAAACTGCAAATCATTGCGGCTGAATGCAGGAAGTAAAGCAATGAACAATTTTCCCCAAAAATTGGTTACATGCGCGACGTTTCACACTACCATGTATACAACGTCCGTCTCATTGGCTCCACCAAAATAATGGCGGATGCGCAGAAAGGATCGGCGCAAAACAAAACAAATAACAGAGTGGGCATACTAGTTATACCATGGTGGAAGTGTGTCGCGGCGGTCAACGAGAGCTCGTGACCAAACAGCGACCTCGCTATGTGAAAATATATCAGGTTGCAAGGCGTCGATGCAAATTTCTGATATGCAATTTACAGATATACGCCTTTTATAAATCAATTCGAATTTTATAATTTCGATACGAATCGTTAATCCGTAATTCACGTTCCACGTGTTGAAGTTGCGTGGTGTGTACTGAACGTAAAGGACTAATATTGTTATAACCTGTATTTTGTAATAATTATAACTGCTAGCCATTAGGTCGGGCAATTGTAATCGCATTGCCATGAATTGCGGCTCCAGATTGAGCGGCCCTGAGGGAGAATGCAACGAGAGCGTGCATTCTGTCCTCTCCTTGCTCTTTCATTGGAAACGATTGCAGTCGCGAAATCTTTGTTCGACGTCCCCCGTTATTTCTCTCCCCCCCCCCCCGCGCGAGTTCTCTTTATCACTCCTGTCCGAGGAACGCGACTGAATCTTTTGACGTAACGAAGTCTATCTATAATCGTAGAAAATCAGGTCAATTACATGCGTGCTAACACGCGCGCGCGCACACACGCGCGCGCGCAAATGACACACCGAGTTTTCTCTCACGCTCCGTGTGTTTATCTGTTTCTGCGAACGTCTCATCGCGATGTTTTTCTCTTCTCTCTCCCTCTCTCTCTCTCTCGAAAGAGATACCGATCGTCGTGACGATTTGAAATTAAATGAGGAATCTCGTTAGGCCTATTGTTTCGCGTAGGTGCCGCGAACACCGTGTGAAACCTTAACTTAAGGCACGGACGATCGTTCGCGGTGTACCAGCGGTCAGCCTTGAAGACGAAGGCTAAATCCTTTCGCGTTTCATCATCTCGCGCCTGACACCACCTCAGACTTTGAGACATTAAGTATCCAATTGGATCAAGTATGCGCGGATAGAGACGTCGATAGAGTGCGATCGGCATGTTTCGTTACGCGCGTGTGCATCTGTCGCTCACCGATCTGTACTTTCGTCCCGCAACTCTCACACGACGGAGCGCGCTGATACGCGCGACTTGCGAACGAAACGTCTTTAACGTTAATTTCAGTTAGGTAGTTTGAGGAAATTTTCAGCTGATTATAGACGAAAACGCTGGGACGCGAGAGTAAGCTTCAGGCTTACCTCTCGGGCGATAAGGCCTGGCTCGACAATAGACGCAGTCGCAAGCCGTAAGAAATCGAACCAATCACAGCCGAACAATCGACCGTCATTGGCCGATTTCTTGCGGCTCGCGACTTACCGCGTCTATTGTAGAACACCAGCCTAAGCGACACACCAGAAGTACTCGCGCCTGCAAAAATATTTAAGTGTCTTTTTGCGCGCAGCCGCGAGTTTGACCGCGCGTAACGTCTCACGGTGCGCGTAGGCGCGTTTGCGCGAGATTAAACGGCTTATCTGCGTGCACCTTCCTCGCTGACAAAGGAGGAATGCAGCCTCACGAGAACACGTTGTCCGTCCGGAATCCCGATACCATCTACCGCCGCACTCGAACGTGACGACCAGGCACGGGAGTAGAACATTTTCCGTTGACGCGAACAGGAACGTCCGACGTTCCCAGTTAATTCGGCAATGAGCGCAATCGCGAGTGAGCGGCCGAGACTGGAATCTTTCCGCTCGATACGCGCGAGCGAGAAAGTCCAAGAGCTCGCCGAGACGTTCTCGGGTAAGTATGTCTGTTAAGGCTGGCGCGGCCAGCTCTAGCGCGAGTAAGAATTCAGCTATTTGTTACTGTCAGTTTCTTACTTTATGCTCAATTTCGCTCGCCAGCCGTTTCAAGACTGTGTGACTATGCTTTGGGTTAAATTTAACGCAACCGTGCAAAAAGCGAGTGGCAAGAAGAAAAATCGTCACGCTTCTTACGTTATCAATTAAGATGCGCTACAAACGTTTGGCAATAATTGGCGAGTTCTCTCTCTCTCTCTCTCTCTTTCTGCTGGTTCTTTGCTGACAAATTTTTGTCAAACTTTGTACAACATAATGTACAGTAATAAAATTAAATCAATCAATCAATCAATCAATCAATCAATCTCTCTCTCTCTCTCTCACTCTCTCTCTCTCTCTCTCACACACACACACACACACACACACACACAAACGTTATTATATAAAATGTCAGTTCGCCGTCTGCCTTGAATCAAGAGTTTACGAGAAGTAAAAAGTGTAAGAAAACATAAGAAAACATGTTAACAGAATGGAAATCATGCAACTTTTTATAATGCCCATTTATAGATATCAATATATCACAGGAATATCGCAGTGAATAAGCGAGTGTTTTTATCGAGATACCCCGAGGCGAAAATCTGTCATATAAATCATCATTAAATACGATATATGCACAATTTGTTTTTTTATTCCGTTTTCGAATACTCTGCGTCGTATTCTCAATGCTCCAAATTATAGTCAGCTCGTGAGTTGCGGTCAGACGTATCGTCAACGTTCAAAGTCATTTTTTTTTCAAAAAGCAGTCCTTGGAGCACCTTTTTAATACATTTAAATGCTACAAGTACATATACAACGCTTATCTTTCAAGCATTTGTATAACACAAAAAATATTCTTGACGCATTAATTTTTCTCACACCTCATATAGTACACTGAGGAAAATGTCTGATTAAATATTTTTTTATTGTGTATTATGTATTATGTAATCAGATAATCCAATTACATAATACCAAACAGATATATCCAATTAAATTGTATATCCGGTGAAAAATATGATCGGTCTTTCAATCAAATTTCATGCGGATGTATCCATAATTTAATCGGAAAACGTAATCGGAAAAATTAA